ACCGTAGTTCCGCTTGTAGTTTTTTGGGGAACCTCCATACTGTTTTCCATGGTGGTTGCATTAATTTACATTCCCACCAACAGTGTATGAAATAATTATTTTTAATTTTTTAAGCAATCTCCATATTCTTTTCCTTAACGACTGTACTAATTCTCACCAACAGTGTGCAAAGTTTTCCTTTTCTCCACACCCTCACCAATGCTTGTTATCTTTCGTCTTTTTGATCGTAGCCATTCTAACAGGTGGGAGGCGATATTGCATTGGGGTTTTTGTTTGCATTTCCCTGATGATTAGTGATGTTAAAAATATCTTCATATACCTGTTGGCCATTTGTATGTCTTCTTTTGAGAAATGTCTTTTCTCAGCCTGTGCCCACTTTTTAATGGAGTTATTTGTTTTCTTGCCATTGAGTCGTGTGAGTTCCTTACATATCTTGGATATTAACCCCTTATCAGATGTGTGGTTTGCAAATATATTCTCCCATTCCCTGGGTCAACTCTTTACTATGTGGGTGTTTCCTTTGCTGTGCAGAAGCTTTTTAGTTTAATGTAATCCCTTTGTCTATTTTCGCTTTTGATGCCTGTGCTTTTGGGGCCATATCCCCCCAAAATCTTTCCCCAGACCAATGTGATGGAGCTTCTCCCCTGTGTTTTCTTCTAGTAGTTTCATAGTTTCAGACCTTCTGTTTAAGTCTTTAATCCATTTTCAGTTGATTTTCGGACATGGTGTGAGATAGGGATCTAGTTTCATTCTTCTGCATGTGGAGATCCCGTTTCCCCAGCACCGTTGATTGGAGAGACTGTCCACCAAAGCATGTCTCAATGCCTCAGTGACACGAGCATCTGCTGGACATTCCTGCGGTGGCTGACGAGGGTGCACAGAATAGATCCATTCCAACACTGACATCTCCCTGAGTCCTCAGAGCTCCCTCTCTGCTGCAGCACAGGGCTTCCCACATCTAGTCTGAACCACCTGGGAGCTTTCTAGAATGCAGATTTGACTTTATGAAGCCTGGGAGGGAGCACGTCTACCAAGATCCCAGGGACGGGAGGTTGCTGAACTTCAGACTACCTTTGAGTAGGGAGGCCTGCACGTGTCAGGGGAGCCCCAACATTTCTACTACACGAACTGTTGGCCACCAGGGGCCCAGGCTTCAGCTAGCCACGCAGAAGATGGCCACACCTGTCGTGTGCTTGTGCTAACGCATCCAGTCCTGAATCCTGAGTGAGTTCAGTCGTGTCAGCCCTTTGGGTGCAAAATTTATTCTCCATGGACCAACATAGTCTTGCTCGACTCCCCACTCAAGCATCCTCCCAGGCTCTTGCCATTACAGGTCCAGCAACTCTTTGGGGGTACAGGCTGTCCTCCCTGAGCAGGCCACCTACCTTACGTGCGGGCTGTGCACCCCCTGCTTCTGTCCCCTGCCTTTGTCCATCTGAAGGCTGCTATGCAGAGGAAAGCTGCTCCACCTGACAGGGGTGGACAAGGCTCAGGGTTCAAATTTTTGGCCTCACATTTCTGCTGAGATATCCCAGTGTCCTGTCTCCAAGTTTCAGTCTTTCCTTGCCGATGCCGAGAGCCTGGCATAATGAAACTGGCCATGGAACACGTCACATCGGTGCCGCACACCTGGAAATGAGCCCTGGCCAGACCTGCAGCCTCGTCCACCCACGACTCTAGGACATCAGGGGCTCATTGGCGTTGCCAAGAAGACCTTTGTGGCGGTCCGGTTCTCAGGCCTCGATTTCCTCTTTCCTTTTGGAATGTCAGGTGGGGCTCTCAGAAGAAGCAAGCTGACCCCAAATCTTCATTATCCTATTGTCACCACGGAAACTGAATGCCTCAGCCACTCTCCCTGGAGCCACCTGGCCTCATGCCCCGCTTCAGTTCACGTCCCCTCCTGTGTGCATTCGAGGAATCGTGGCGGCGCTCTGTGCTGTACCTGTGTCCCCGTGACCCTGGCCAGGACAGCATCTGGCTCCTCCAGTCCTCGAGGAACCAAACCTCAGGTCTCATTTTTGAGGGTCTGTTTAACAGGGACACTGATGGTGGCAATTTCTGTACCGGTCAGAGGCCTGGGGGGAAACAGCCCTGGCTGCTCCTGGTCCGGGAAGTTTGAGGGGAGTTAAATGCAAGGAGACTCTTTGGGGCTGGTGAACCCGCAGCGGGAGGAGCGGGGAGAGGTGTTAGTCACGCCCAGGGATGATGGCTGCGTGAAGGGCTGCACGCGGGGGTTGTGGCTGACAGAGGGGCATGGCCAGTCCATGGTGACACTGCAGGGAGGGATCCGGGAGGTGGACCCGAGCTCACCTCCTCCTAAACACCTCTCTCCTGCTGGTGCCACCCACTGCAGCAGGAACCCACGCACGGGCTCCCTTCCTGGGTGTGGCGCAGGTGGAGGGGTCAGGGTGGCTCCGGGCCCGGGTTGGAAACTGTGGAGGCATTTCCTCGCCAGATCTCAGGAAGGTCTGTTGGGCGAGCACAGCCAGCGACGCCCGCCACGGCCACAGAAGGCCAGCAGGAGGGAACTCGAGATTAGGAGGCTTTCGATGTCCTGTGGTCCGGCCACTGCATTTTTCAGATAAGAAAACCAAGACCCAGAGCAGTGAAAATACCGCTGCGAGGTTGCCTGACTACCGAGTGGACTGGTCGCACCCTGCATTTCCTCCCTCGTCACACTGGCATTTGTTACAGCAGGTATTTATTGATAAGGTCCCCAAGTGGTCACATCCCACGGGTGATCTGCAGGGGCGACGCTCTGGCACTGAGGAGCTGAGGGCAGGTCCAGGTGCACCAGCCCCAGCATGCGCCCAAAGGCTGCGCCCAGCGATGCGCTCACAGCTTTCCCCAAGGACGGAGGGGACGGGCTTTTGAGAAAGATCTAACAACATCCACGAATCATGAATCTATGCCCCCTCAATTTACAGATGCTAACCTTTCAACCTCTTTCCTTTAGATTTTCTTCAACAAAATACGTCATAGATGTGCCAGAGGTCCCTGTGCCCTCCCGATGCCCTTTCTTTTGTTCTCCTTCCCGGACAGACCTGTTACCCTGACGCCGGCGAGTCTCCTTCCTGTCTCAGCTTTTATCATTTTATTTCATCGGGTGCAGTTCCAACAGTATAGCCCATCGTTTAATGTATTTTGGAACTCTACGTCGTCAATGACATCACGCATTAAAAACCTTTCTTAACTTACTTTTTCTTTAACCTTGTTTCCAATATTTCTCATTGTTAATTTCCATCTTCTGCAAGGTACTTGGTACATGCACCACAATGCATGCAATGTGTAGCATAATAACGTATGTAAAAGTACGACACATGTATACGGTTGGCCCTCTGTACCTGTGGGTTCCGCATCCACAAGTTCAACCAACCACAGATCAAAAATATTCCACAAAGTTTAAAAAGCAAAGCTCGAGTTTGCTGCACGCCGAGTACTACACTGAATCCGCACAAGTAAAACGATAATAAAGAAATAAACCGGTGTGCGAGCATCGTGTCAGCTGTCGTAGGCTACGCAGAGGGGTGTAAAGCTTGCGGGAGGATTGCGCGGGCCCTACGCAAACACTACTTTATTTAAGGGGCTTGCGTGATCCTGGAGCCTGGTGTCTGAGGGGGGTCCTGAACCCATGTCCCCGACACCGAGGGACAACGTGTCACACGTTCTTTCCTCTTCCCTTGTCAATGCACATTTATGAACATCTATGTTGCTGTCTCTTTCTTTTCCTCCCTCCCTCCCTCTCTTGCTTCCTTTTTTTCTTTTCACCTGTTCCAAACAACGCTAAACAGCATGTCTTTGTCCGTGTTTCCTTCTGCCCCAGCGTGAACGTTTGTCTGGAGTAGGGCCCAGGCCTGGAACTGGTGGAACCGCTGGGCGGTAAAATCTGCGCAGCTTCAACCGCACCGAACACCGACCACTGTCTCTGCACGTTGTTGCGCATCTGCCTTCCTTTTCCAAGGTCTCTCCTTTGATCTGAGACATTTTGGCGGACATCACCACAGCCATCGGCATCGCCCAGGGTGGGCAGACTTGACCCACCCCACCGTGGACCCCGGGCCCCCCTGGAGACCCCGCTGGCCCTGGGGAGGATGAGGAGGGATGTGGCCGCCCCATTCCGGCCCTGGCTCCCCTCTGAGAGGGGCTGCCAGGACTGACTGACTGTCACCTAAGAACAGGAAGGACCTTTCCGAGGTCAGCATGCCTTTCCCTCACTGAAGAAAAGATATTTCTCCTATTGTTCGTTCATTCATTGAATCATTCAACAGCCGTTTATCGAACGCTCACCGCGGACGCTGTTCTAGGGCCTGGGGCCACCTCATGCACAAAGTAGACAAAGACTCCTGTCCCATGGGCCCCCAGTCCCGGGGGGTGCAACATAGTAGACACAACGTGTGAGTGAGCTGTTTCACACACTGGAAATAGGCAGAGCTCTGAGGAAGGGACACAGAGCAGGGCAGGGGATGGGGTGGCGGCGTTGGAGGTGGTTCTTGTTAAAATGCCATCGTGTGTGACCGCTCGCTGGGACAGAGCGAGAGCAGAGACCCCATGGAGAGGGAGGGAGCCCGCAGACATGAGGCACAATGAGCCACAGTCACTTTGTCAGTTTTCGATATCTGCGCTTGTGTACAATCGCATTATTAAAAGAATTCCCCTCCACCACCCGGGACGGGCCCTAGACAGGCTGTGTCCCCGTGAAGGACCTAAAGGTGCTTTGCTCACGTGTGAATTTGCTCACATGGAAATGTCAACAGGACAAAACTCGTGGAGGAAAGATGCTGTCTGTGGGCCACATCCCCTGGGGGACGGGTGGGGGACTGTCACTCCCCACCTCCCCACCCAGCTCATCCAGACAGAGCTGCCCTCCGCCCCTGCACACTTGGATTCTCAAAATAGCGGAAAATCGCTCTCATGCCCGTTTTAAGAAGACAAGGCCAGGCGGACGGGCCTCATCACATCCGCCCCTTCCCCCGACTGCCCGTGGCAGAGGCCTGTGAGCCATGGTTACCGCTGGTACCTTTCCCTGGCCACCCCGCGCTATGAATCACTTCCGCGGTGTGTGCAGTGTTTACGCTGGCGGGAGGGCCTCGCAGATACGGAGGCCCTGAATTAAGGACACTCCCACGGGATAAGAGAGGGACTTTCTGAGTCTCACATCCCTCAACCAGGTGACTACACAACATGGTATTTTCTCTATCAGCGAACTCGGTTTGGCTTGACCAGGTCTAGGAAACACCTTCTGATCAGCGGTGATTACTGGTAGTGAGCAGGACCTCCTTAGGCAAATGTTATGTAACACGCTTTTCGCAAACAGAGCCTGCGGTATAAACGCAAGGGCCTGCACGGAGGCTCATCCCCGACTCGTGCTCTCCCTTGGAGCAAGAGGACACTGAGGCCACCATGGAGCACAAGGCCATCTGCGCCCTGGTCGTGGTCTTCTTGCTGGCCCTCAGCACCCGAGCCAAGGACGCGGCAGGTAAGGCGCCCTCCTGCCTGCTGTGGGGCACAGCCGGGTCGGCGCTGGCCTCGCTGGGCGCCACCGTTCCCCAGGGCGCAGCTTCAGCACCTCTTCTGTGCCAGGGGCTGTTTGGGGCCCCTACAAGTATGTCCCATGTTACAGGAATGACAAAAGCATGTGATGAATAGCACAGGACGGTGGGCCTCTGACAAACGCCGCAGGGAAGCCGCTTCCCTCGGTTGGTGTTTGTCTTCCAGAGCCGACACTCGGGCATGAGGCTGCTCCTCAGGGTCATATTTCTGGGGGAGTTTTGGCTGGGGTATAAGAACAGTGCTTCCAAATGTCCAAGCCAACGTCTCACCAGGGAGCAGACCCGCCCGAGGCCCACACAGATGTGCCCACGTTGTCTGCCCCACGGTAGCTTGCGGTGGGAAACTCTCCAACACCTTCCTGGGCTCCCTGGGTCCCCTGGGCTCTCCCAGGCTTCATGATTTGGGGCGTCAGAACCACCTCTCCCGTGGGCGGTGCCCGTCACCCCCAAATCATCCATGGCTCGCGGGGCCCAAGTTCCTCCGGAGAGGCGAGAGGAGGGCCTGTTGCGGCCTTGGGACTCGTTTGTGCCCCAGCTCTTCTATCTGTGGAATGGGAACGGCCACCTGCCTCACAGGTTGTCAGGAACGTGCAGCGTGGCAGTGTTTGTGACAAGCGCTTTGCCAGCTACAAAGTTAAGTCATTTACTGCTGTGAGTTACAGTTTTAAGGTGGGGGGAGGAGAAAGTTCCCAAATGGAGGGTTTCCTTAGAGGCCGGGACGCAGGGAGTCAGGTGATGTCACTTTACTGCAGGTCCTTCCAGCTGCCTCCTGACCGTGGGGACAGGGTGGGGGGTGGGGTTGGGTGGCAGTGGGAGAAGGCGTCAGGTGACAGTTTGGGAGTCCCCAAGCCCACAGCAGGGAGCGGGTGGGCCTGGGAACCCAGGGGAGGACATGGCGCTGTGGTCCCCACTGCCGGCCCCTCCCCACCCAGCCCCCAGCTCCGCCTCTGCACTGGAGGCTCCAGGCGGCCGTTCCCTGCCCGGCCCTCTGGCCCAAGGCTCGGGGCTTCCTTTTGGGCCGCTCAGGGTTAGTGATTCTGTTAGAACAGAAATCTAGAAAACTGTGATTACAGTGTAGCCCACAGATGGAAATTGTTTCCACTTGCTTCCTTCACGTGACAGAAAGCGGGTGCGCTGGACACACAGAACCTGGGGCTGGAAGTCCCTCTGTCCTGGGTGGGACTCCGGCAGGAGGGAGTGAGCCACGCGGCGCGGCCTCCCTGCCCTGGGGTGCTGGCCCTCCGCGGCAGGGCTTCTCCGACCCCGACCACCCTGGCGTGGGCACCCATTCTCTTTGCTCCAGGATGGGAGCCAGACCCCGGGAGGGGTCCCCTCGGAAGCTGCCCAGCCAGTGGGAGGGGGGCCTAGATCTTTCCCACAAAGCCAGGACTTTCTTCAAAGAAAGCTTGAGGCAGTCCCCGGATACAAAAGCAGACGGGGAGAGCAGCCCCTTCCGGGCTCCTGCCAGGACGTGCGCTCCTGCACCTCCCCTGGTGAGCCCCAGGCACAGATGGGGAAGGTGTGCGAGGGTCCTCTTCTGTGACCTGCCGCGGCCCTTCCACCCCCAGATATGCCGACGGGTTTGCCTTCCTAGGCCTTAGGCTCCGCCTGAGCCTGGACCCTGAAGCTCTTGCACTTGGATCGTGCGGCACCTGCGGGTAGCCCGTCTCCGCCCTGCATCTCCCCTACGGACCCATCTCCTCTGCTCTGTTGAGTGCCATTTAGCGGCCCCTGGCCCTCTGTCTGGCCCTTCTCAGACCCTGGCCGTCCTTGACACCCCCAATACACCTCACTCTCCCCTCATGGCCTGTGCACGGGCGGCTCCATCTGCTCGGCTTAGCCGAGCCTCAGCCTCCCCTGGCAAACCTCCTCCTGCAGGAAGCCCTCCCTGGTTGTCACCGGCCCCTCCTGGGCACACTGGGATGACCGCACTGTGCTGTCTGGTACATTTTCTTGGCTTTCTCCTCCGTTAGACGACGAGCCTCTTAACAACGACTTCTCCCGGTTTCACTTCCGGGACCCCTTACCCGGCACGGTGGCTGCCCTCGCCGTGCTAGCTCCTGTTTCCAGCACACACAAGTGGTGCTCAGTAAACATTCATTTGTTGAGTAAACAGAGTGTAGTAATCATGCAATGAAAATAACGGGTGAATAAATAAGTCACCTGGGTAGCTGCAAAGTCGACACACCCCAGGCACCTTGCGCTTTCCCGAGGCTTAGTTGTTCTTGCGTCAGGACACGAGGACCGGGTCTCCCTCTCGTGTCCTGAGGGGTTATACCGGCCTTGTGGGCGGTGCTGGCTTCCCTGGAGAAGGAAGCTGGACGGAGGGGGTGTGGACCACGGCACCGGGGATCCGGCCCCCTCTCAGCTTGGCCTCTCGCCCGCACCCTTTCAGAGACGTGCTCGATGGAGCCCCGGGAGCGAGTGAACTGCGGCTTCCCCGGCGTCACGTCCTCCGAGTGTGAGAGTAAGGGCTGCTGCTTTGACGACGCCATCGCTGGGTACCCGTGGTGTTTCAATCCCAAGACCAGGGAAAGCACCCAGGAAGGTATGGCCGTTTCACCACACCTGGGGGCGGGAGGTTTAGAACTAGGGAGAAAGATCCACGCGGGGCCGGGGCGCTAACCAGCGCCGCCAGCCGTGCTTTCCCCGCCACAGCCCCGCGACAGCGAGGCCTGAAGCAGGCTGGGCTCGGGCCCAGGGACGGGGACAGCAAGACAGGGCTAGGGACTTTGCAAGGGACCTGTTTTCCCTGGCCTCCCTTCATGGCTCTGACCCTCCCCTGCGGGGCCGCCCTTTCCAGCCCCTCGGGGTAGAAGAGGAAGGAAAGACAATTAAAAGACAGAAGGTGGTGCATGTTTTCTAAAGAACATTCCTGTTGATACTTTGCAGTAAAAACTCTGTAATTGTTTAAAAGTGAAGGAAATACCTATTCTCTTAAGGTTCTTCAATCTGTTAAAAAAAAAAAAAAAAGAAAAGAAAATACTTATTCTCACTAATGCATCTCCCCTCTGCTCCATTTCAGAGGAGTGTGAGTTTTAGACTCTCCCCACGGGGACCTGCCTGCATCGGGCCTGGGCACTGACCCCCGCGGTGGCCCCTGGAGCTCGGCCACCACCGGCCAGACACCTGGGACAGCCCCCTGGATCGCACCGCGGCTCACAGCATAGATCCACTGTTCCGATCGTTAGTACTCACAACTGGCCTAGGCATTAAAAGATGAATGTTATTCTGTGCTTTTCATTCTTTCAAAACATATCAACGATTTTCCTTTCTTTGAAAGTGAAGTGCAAACTCCCACCTCTGGTTTCTCACCGTGCATGAACTACACACTGGCTGGACTGTCTACAATGAGACACGGGTGGGTGGCTGGGCGGAGGATGAAGTGGTCACAGTGGGCCGCGCGGTCCATGCGGAGCTGTCAGCGGTGGTACACGAAGACGTCCCATTTCGGGCTCAGTCTGCGAGGCCACGAAGTCCTCAAGAAGCGAGTCTGAGCCACCACCTTGCCAGACCATGACGTAGGCACCCACACTGCTATTACTGACATTCTTTACTCTTCGTGGACAGCCAAGTAATAAAAACTTGCTTTCAATTCCTTTATTTCACAAATGGAGACTGACTCAGGAGATGAAACCCATAGCAGAATGTCTGAAAGCGTTAATAATAAAAATCGCAGAAGGTGGCATGAGCTGACACTTCGAGGAGCAACCCCCTAATCTGAGATCTGAGCAAAAGGGGAGGTGCTGAGCTGAGCAGGGCCGGCTGTCCCCACACCATCCGGCCAGGTAGATCACACCCAAACCCTTGGCCACAGGCTGGGCACAGGAGGCCAGCAGACCCCCACGCGTGAAGGGAGGCGTCAGGGACAGGAAGACCCCCCTGCACACAGCAGCATGTGTATGAGCTGCAGTATGTATGTTGTTGCATGTGTGTCAGGAGGGCCACAAACACTCCTCTTACCTTTCCAATGTGCAGAGAAATTTTAGCTTCTCTTTTCTGTCTACAGCCCGCCCGACTTTACGGTCTCTGCCTGCTAATTAGAGGTAAAAAATAGCCAACTTGGCCGGGCGCGGTGGCTCACGCCTGTAATCCCAGCACTCTGGGAGGCCGAGGCGGGAGGATTGCTTGAGCTCAGGAGTTCGAGACCAGCCTGCGCAGAGCGAGACCCCGTCTCTACTAAAAATAGAAAGAAATTAGCTGGGACAGCTAAAAATATATAGAAAAAAAAATTAGCCGAGCATAGTGGTGTGTGCCTATAGTCCCAGCTACTTGGGAGGCTGAGGCAGGAGGATCTCTTGAGCCCAGGAGTTTGAGGTTGCTGTGAGCTAGGCTGATGCCAAGGCACTCTAGCCCAGGCAAGAGAGCGAGAGAGACTGTTGCAAAAAAAAAAAAAAAAAAAAAAAAAAAAACCGACCAACTTTATTTAGTTCAATCCCTTTTAAAATTCTTTTTGTTGCAATAATTTGCACAGCTTCTGCAGGTCACAGTCCTTGGGGGATCGTTGTGCAGTGTCTCTGACTCCACCACAGCCCCTCCCTACTCCCCCATACTTGGGTGGGGCAAGGGGGTCTACACCACAGCCTTAGGGGTTCTGCTGCCCCTCGTGGACAGGCGGCATGGGCATCCTCTCAGTCCAGCTGGCTCGTGCCTTGTGTCCTCTCTCCCCGTTTCCCAGTGCCAGAGTGCTGGGCCTCCCCCAGCACAGCTTGTAGCAGGCAGTTTCCTGGGTTCCCACCAGCAATCCCTTCCCTCCTTTCTTACTCGACTTCCCTATAGAGAAAGGGGAGGAGAGAACTCACTTTTCCCAGCCTCCCCGACTGGAGGTGGCCGTGAGACTTTTCTGGCCCATGAGACATAGCGGCCAATACTCGAAGGCATTGGGGAAAGACTTTTCTTACTTTTCTTTCATCAAAAGGAGAGTGCCCTCTGGCTCCCCCGTGCAGCCCCTGCTGCCTGCCTTTGGGTGCTATGGTGGGGGAATGCGTGCGGTGCTGAAGGCAGCCATTCTGTGATAAGGAGGGAAAGCCCGAGAGTTGGAGCCTTGATGTCCCTGAGCTGCTGACCTGACCCCACCATCACCCACCTCCTTGTGGGTTGAGCCGCTGCTTGTTGGATTCCTGTGACTTGGCCCCACATTACCAAGGCCCACACCTCCCCCTTCCACAGGGCAGGGCCAAGACTCTGTCCCAAGGAGATGACTGGGCTGTCACCTGCCTTCGCTCAGTTTCCCTGGGCTCCCGCCCAGCCAAGGGAGTTGGGGGGAAGGAGAGTGGCTCCAACTCCTCCCTCTACCATGTTCCGCAGAAGGAAATCCCCAGGCTCCTCCCACACATGCCCACCCCTCGGGGTGCCACCTGCAGACACCACAGTCTCTGCCCCTCACGGCCAGGAGGCGTACAAAGGAGGATTTGCTGAGGCGTGGCCTGGCAATATGATCTCTGCCACATTGGTTTTCGGAAAGTCACAAAATCCACAAGAATTCCGAGAGTGGAACAAACAGACGGGAGCAAGCGGAGGTGCCGGAGCAGAGTGCAGCCGGGGAAGAGCAGGCGGGGAGGGCGCTGGCGGCAGCACGTGGGGGCCCTGGCCTCCGGGGCTGCCCCAGCCTCCGCAGCGACATCCGCAGCGCTGCCCCAGGGTAAGCGGGCAGATGTGTGGGAGACGTGCGCTTCCTCCCTGTCTGCGGCGGGGCCGGGGACGAGAGGAGGGGCTGGGCACAGAGGACGGTTTCCTCCCCCAGCCCAGGAACAGGACGGAAGCCTCAGCAACAGCTTTGCACGTCCTGCTGGCATTTTCAGGACAGAGGTGGGAGCTCTGGGGTTCTAGAATTCTCTGCAGGACGGAAGCTGTTACTAAGAAAGAGGTAGGTCTATGCCCTTTGCCCTGAGAATAGGCTGGTGAACCTTGTGGTTTGATGTGTGTCCACAGCAGTGCAGGGAGAGGGTGCCGGTGTGTGAGAGTGTGAGAGTGTGAGTGTGTGTGTGTGTCAGTGTGTGTGTGTTTCAGTGTGTATGTGTGTGTCAGTGTGAGTGTGTGTGTGAGAGTGTGTGTCAGTGTGTCGCTGTGAGTGTGTGTGTGTGAGAGTGTGTGTGTCAGTGTGTGTGTGAGTGTGTGAGTGTGTGTGTGTCAGTGTGTGGGTGTGTGTGTGAGTGTGTGTGTGTGTGAGTGTGAGTGTGTGAGAGTGTGTGTGTGTGAGTGTGTGTGTGAGCGTGTGTCTGTGTGAGTGTGTGTGAGTGAGTGTGTCAGTGTGAGTGTGTGAGAGTGTGTGTCTGTGTGAGTGTGAGTGTGAGTGTGTGTGTGTCTGTGTGAGTGTGTGTGAGTGTGAGTGTGTGTCAGTGTGAGTGTGTGAGAGTGTGTGTCTGTGTGAGTGTGTGTGAGTGTGAGTGTATGTCTGTGTGAGTGTGTGTGAGAGTGTGTGTGTATGTGTCAGTGTGTGTGTGGGTTTCAGTGTGTGTGTGTGTGTGTCAGTGTGAGTGTGTGTGTGAGAGTGTGTGAGTGAGTGTGTGAGAGTGTGTGTCTGTGAGTGTGTGTGAGTGTGAGTGTGTGTCTGTGTGAGTGTGTGTGAGTGTGTGTCTGTGTGTGTGAGTGTGAGTGTGTGTCAGTGTGAGTGTGTGTGTGAGTGCGTGTGAGAGTGTGTGTGTGTGTGAGAGTGTGTGTCTGTGTGAGTGTGTGTGTGTGTGTGTGTGTGAGAGTGTGTGTGTGTGTGTGTGTGTGTGTGAGTGTGTGTGTGAGGGTGTGAGTGCGTGTGAAAGGTGGGGGACGGAAGGGAAGAAACAGTATCAACATCCAGGCCACGCGCACTGGACCAGGACCAACCTGCACCTACCGCCACCTCTCCCGGCACAGTGACTGAGGGGCCCCTGGGGTGGCCGCAGGTTCCCGAGCCTGTATCTCTGGGGTCTGGGCTCCGCAGGAAACTGTGACAGGGAGGTGTGTCCCTGGGCCCCACCCCACCCTTCCGTGGCCCTGGGTCGCTGGGCGGAGGACATGGTTGGGGAGCAGAATTCTACGTGGCTTAGGAAGCAGGGGACGCCTCCTCCTGGGCCATGCGGAGTCCCTGCAGTGTCTGGGGTTGGGGGAGGCAGGTGAGTTGCGATGACAAAATGCCCTAATAAGAACAGCTCTGCCGACGTGGCTCAATGGTGTGGGTGACACAACACGCGCCCCCACGCGGGCGCTCCCAGGGCCTGAGCCCACCCTCCTCCCGAGCCCGGGAGACCTGCTGAGGGCACCCAGGCCCCCGACACCGAGAAACTGCTGGCCTTCTGTCGGGGATGGGAAAATTGCTTGCAACTTTTGTGTTTGCATAAATTGCTTGGTAGTAGAAAGTTTACCTATTTTCTCTCTTTATTTTTGGAAACAGCCCTTCTACTTCACAACTCAACGCAGTGATGTGTCGCTTTACGCTTTTCTTGATCTCCCCAGATGTGAAGCTAAAATGCGGATCTGAGCAGCTCCACACCAGGCACGGACAGACTGTCCATGACATCCTGCATGCTGCCCCTTCCTACCACCCAGGGAACGCTCTAGAACTTTCCATGTCCTAGAAGCTCCTCAGACAGGAGTTCAGCAAGTCTCTCATGGGGAGAGATTCGTCTTTTGGGTTTTCTGGGTAGATGAGCGGGTCGGGGGCTGAGCTGTGTCTGCCCCGGCCCCGAGGGGGACTCGGAACGGGGATGGACCAAGGGGCCGACAGGGGCCGAGTGGGCACAGTTTGCCTGGAGGCCCCAGGAGCAGGCAGGAGGGTGAGGCGGATGAGCAAAAAGGTGACCTGACCCCCATGAGCGGCTGTGCCAGGGTTCTGGGTCTCGTATCACCGCTGTACACCAGCCCCTTCTCAGGCTGCCGTGACAAAGTACTGTCTGAAACAGCAGACGTCGGTTCTCTCCCATTCTGGAGGCTGGTGGGGGATCGGGTGTCAGCAGGGCTGGCTCCTCCCAGGCCTCCCTCCCTGGCTTGCCCGTGCCTGGCCTCTTGCTGCCTGTTCATGTGCCTGGGGGGCTGTGTGTCCAGATTTCCTCTTCTTATAAGGACACTAGTCAAATTGGGTTAGGGCCCTACCCTAATAATACAATTTTAACTTAATCACCTCTTTAAAGGTACTGTCACCAAATGCAGTCCCAGTCCGAGGCTGGGGCGAGGGCTTCAGGCTGGGAGTTTGAGGAGTACACACACTTCAGCCCATGGACATTGGTGTCTGTTTCTTGCAACCCAGGAGCCGTCGTCGAGGCGAATGCTCGGGGTGATGTCATGATGAGTTTCTGTTACTTGAGACTCTTGTGGTCAACCCTACCACAGACGGCGGGAACAAAGCAGATTTTGTGAAACTGAGGATGTGCCAAGTGCAGACAGCGGGCAACATTCGCAAGGTGTGCTCAGCGTGGGCAGTGGGCGGGTTGGTAACCTGCAAGGTGTGTTACGTGATGAGGACGGAACCGACGAGAACGTATCCGAGAGAGAGAAGGATGAGAAGGCCAAGTCGTAAGAGGCGGATGGCGCACCTCTAGGCTGACAGCTCTGTCATCCGGAGATCAGCCACACATGGTGGCCCCAGAAGTGTGGACCAGGAGCGTGGCTGCTCCGTGGATCATGCCGGGCTGCAGCGGGGTCGGGAGTGCTGTCCCGGGTCTCTCAGACAGAGCGAGAGCGCGGTGGCCCCAGGACCCTCCCACCTGCTGGTCCTGGCCCCAACCTCCTTCACAGAGGGGGAGAGGACGCATGAATACCTCGTGGTCCAGGATCCAGGTGTCATTCCCTCCACCCCCTCGCGCCCTCTGCCAAATATTAACCTTCTCCTGCCCCTCATTTTCCGCCAGGTGCTGTAGATTGATTTAATAAACCGTGTGGTTTGAGCACTGTAATCTGGCCCGTGAGCCTTTCTGTTCCACAGTTAGCTGTGCACTTGGAGGCTACCGTGGCTTCTGGATAATTCCCCACACAACAACAGGGCTCTGTTCAGAGCATGTTGAACTAAGGACCAGATCAGGAACTAGTTCTCAAAGCCAAGTTGTGGCTTAAGATCATATTTGTAGGGTCACTGGCAAAGATATGGCGAGCTTAAGAAAACTCCCCGCCTTCCTTTGTGAGTACAGGGTTGAAATATTTAATTCCCGCGAGCCCGATAGGAAACATTTGCTAACAAGAAGGAGACGCACGTCACTTACTGGGAGGGATCGATGGCCGTCAGGAAGGAAGGGCCCCTGACGGAAAGGTCCGAGCACACAGAAGGTGACAGGTGGTGAGACAAGGATAAATAGGTCTGTATCTAGAGTATGTCTTCATCATCCTCTTCAGTTCTTGACTTTCCCTGAGCTGGACGTCTTTGACGTGGCAAAGGGATTAAATTAGGCAAAGCCATCCTGCTGACATGTGTACGTGCTACGATGGGGATCAGCGAACTTATGAGGAGAAACATCTATTCTAAAGGCAGATATTGGGAGGACTTTCTACATTTAATCTGATCGAGTTTGCCAGTGTCAGCAGAGACCTATGAAGGGCTGAGCTTTTGTCCTATTGCAAACTGACAAATTGCTCTGCCACAGGTTCGTGGATGCTGGCAGGAGACGGGAGGTTCCTGGTTCAAGGACAAAGGACTCTACTAGTCGCGGTATAGCAGCAGCATGAGCGCCAGGGTGCTTGGGTCGGGGGGTGATGGGTGTCGGGGGGTGGCTCGGAGGGATGCCTGCACACATAGCAGGCAGCCTTGCAGGAAGCAGCCCCGGCCCGAGGGACTCAAGTCTTTTACAAGGGACAGTACACTTGCCTGCCCTGTGCTCCAGAGGGAGACACCTTGTCTATTTTCTAAGGTTGTTTGCTACACAAACATCCTTCAAAAGATAGTTTAAAAGAAACAACTGTTTTAACTGCCTTGTGTACATCTGGTTGGTGAGGGAAGGATTTCACCTGAGGGTTATTATGGGATGCCAGCACACAGCATATGCAGCACTGGACAGGTGAGAACAACAGCAGCTGGTATGTCGTATGTTCTCCCAGCCCATGGGGACACCGCATGCAGGCGGGGCCGCACGGGAGCTGTGCTCAGGGTCAGAGCCAACAGCACGGGCTTGGGAGGCTCTGCAGCAACACGAGGGCGTGGCACGCGGTGGTTCCCACAGGAGGGTGTGCTCGGCTTGTTTGAACAGCTCTGCGGGCTGGCAGGGAGCTGAAATCCGCTACTCATGGATAAGCAGGAGCTGTGGCTGAGGAGGACACCTTACCCGTGGAAGGAGGCAGGGGACCTTGCGGCTAGGCCATCTGAGGCCCTCTCAACTTCCCCAGATATCACGACAGCGCTGAACATTGAACCTTAATCTTCCTTCTCATGCCATAAAGACAGTGAGCTCTTTATTCACCAGATGTGCAGAAATGTGAAAAACACACGGAAATTGTCCCCCACCAACTAGCGCATATCATTTTCAAGACCAGATTACAGAGGGGGAAAAGGATTAAGGCAATTTCTGTAACCTTTTATTTATTTAAAAAAATACAAATATTACCCTTCATCGTTGTTTTAAACTTTATTTTTAGACGGTTTTAAGACTATAATACAGGGGTAGGCAGATTCTTTTAGAGGACTAGATGGTAAATATTGTTGGTAAATGATGGTAAATAGGTTCTGTGGGCCATACAGTCTGGTCAACTCTGCCATTGTAGCTTGAGAGTAGCATGGACAGTGTGTGAATGATGGGCATAGCTGTGTCTCAATAAAGCTTTATTTAAACAACAGGCAATTGGCCCAGGAGCCCTAGTTTCCAGCCCCTACTGTAACATGTCGTTTTACCTGGACATGTGGTAACCTAACTGGTTTAATGATTTTAAGAGTGGCCAGAATGTGGCTTGTCTCAGCATGGTGTCAAACAAACAAAACATCCACTCGGATGCCAAAGAGACATTTACAAGTAACTTAAATCTTAACTAAAGTCTCTCAAAAAAGTGCAAAGAAGAATTACATTGTACACACATTAAAAATGTGCTAAAATTTATGTCCTTCCAATTATATTCCCAAATATAACTCATCAAGACATTTATGATTTCATTTCCTCCCTAGTGATTCTGTATGAAAATTCTCGTCGGCATTGGTTCAACTGGTTTTTTTCTTCTATTAGCTTTGGTCAAGTTCCTTATTATGTATCCACATAGTCCTGGGCTTAAAAAATTTTTTTAAATGATATTTACTCCCCATATTGCCCAGTATACCAAGACCCTAGAAGCCCGTGCCACTGGGCAGGGAATTGAGCTGGTTAGCTGTTCAGCCTCCCCTTCAACCGTCAGGGGCTTTACCATGTCAATTTCGGTAATAAAAATACGTTTTCCCCTGATGGAGTGTGAAATGAGATATTGTCACCTCAGGACGTTATGGGTGCTACATTGTGTTCCTGGGTTTGTTGCTTTCCGTAAGAGGGTGTGTTGAGCTTCGCTCTGCCGGGCAGTGTTGGTGAGTGGACTCTGTCCTCCCAAATTCATGCACCGAAGCTCTCATCTTCAGTGCCTCAGAGTGTTATTGCACTTGGGACAGGATCTTATAGGGGTAATTAAGTTAAAATAAACCTGTCAGGGTGGGCCCTACTCCAGCCTAACTGGTGACCCCACAGGACACCGGGACGTGTCCGCCCACAGCAAAGACCACGCAGGGGAGACAGGCCGTCTGCAAGCAGGGGGAGGGGCCTCATAGGAAACTAACAAGCCCTGGGCGTCCAGCTCCCAGAGTCAGGGGAACATGCATTTCTGTTGTTTAAGCCGCCCAGTCCGTGGTGTTTTGTTATAGCGGCCCCAGCAAACTGATGCAGGCAGTTAATTGAATTGCAGGTTAACTTGATTCTTTTAAGACTTGCTTTAGAGTTCTGCTAGAATGAGACGAGGGTCCCTTTGCTCTAGAACAGGCCGGGCATGCTCCTGGGGCAGGTTCTCTCCCTCTGGCTTCTCAGAACTCTGAGGACTCGCAGCCCAGGGGTGCTGTGCTGACCATCAGTTCAATCTCTCCCGGCTCCTCCTGTCCCCAGCAGCTGTTTTGCTGGGCCTTGTGGCACAGGCAACTTAGCGTTTGACTAAAAGCTCAAGGGACCCCCTTTCCTACTTCTGGGGCTTCCTTTTCTGACTCTGAAAATCCAGCTGCCTCAGGAGCTTCCAATTCCAGCCTCTGCCTCTGAGATGGCTGCTCTGTGTGGCCCCGACTCCAGTCGTCTGGAGAGTGTCTCCAGGCGGGAACAGGGCAGCCACGGGGCTGGCCTCCCTTCTCTCGTGGTTCCCTTCTCTCAGCAACCACTGTCTGGCCTGCCAGCGGCTCAACACCTACAAAACATTATTTCCTATAGTTTTAGAGTCACTGATGGTCGGAGGGCTAGTCTGGTACCAGTTACTGCATAGTCAAAAGTAGACGTCCACGTGGGTGACATTTGACGGGTTCCCATGTGGCGACTGTTTTTCTATGTGAATTGACAGACGACACCACCCCAAAGAAGAATGGCACCGTCACTGAGTGCCCAGGTAGGTCTGCGGTCCTGGGTTTATGGTGGCAACAGTCGATGGTAGGCGTCAGCCGGTGTCGGCACAGGGACAGTAAGCAGATGAAGTGCCCCTGGCAGCACAAGAGAATGGCGGGGAAGGGCGTGGGTGAAGCGGGCGTGGAAACCAGACTGGAGGAGGGAAGGGAGGATGGACGGGATGGGGCTCGGAGAGGGACAGCAGAGGGAGCCGGGACCAGAGGGTTTCGGGATGTAGAGAGAGGTGCGGTGGACGTCGCAGACAGGACGTTGGGAGCTTAGGACATCCCGAGCAGAAAGGACGTTTGCATCTCGCCTTGAAGGTGTGGAGCTCAGGTTCCGAGAGTGGCCCGGGAGGGGAGGCAGGAGTGGAAGGGCATGGAAGTTCCTAGAGACAGGAAACAAACCCTGAGTGGCTGTGACTTTGGACTAACGTCCACTGGAATGTTGCAGCTGACCAGGATGTGACCAAGTCTTGGTGTGACAAGGGACACAGTGAGCTCAGTGCTAAAGTCCTCAACAATGGGGACAGGCCACATGAAGGCGGGGCAGGGGCTCTGGAAGTGGCGCTGTTCACAGCTACATCTCCAAGGAGTATGGTCTTTGCGCGAGGGCGGGGACTGGGGGCTCCAGGTCAATGTCCAGCCCCCCCAGCCTGAGCCCACATGATGGGAGCGCAGCCACCAAATACGGCCGTGGAGGTGGTGTGGTGGGCACAGCTCCACGCTCAGCAGGTGGCTCCATGTGGCAGACGTCCGTCTGGTATGATGATTTCCCAACAGGGGAAGTAACTCGCCGTGAAGGAAATGTGCTTTCTCCAACTTGCACAGAAGCACGGTGTGGCCTAAGCGGGGCGTGAGAGACGCAGCTCCGGGGAGACAGAGGCTCCCGCCAGCGCCGGGAGAGGGCGAGAGGCCGAGAGTCGCGATGGTGAGTGGTCTCTTGGGCGCGGAGCAGGCGGTTCCAGCAGGAGCCCAGGAAGGGCAGCAGGGGCAGTGGGAAGTGGGCTCAGGCAGGACAGTGGGATGAGCACAGGGAGAGCGTGCATGACAGACACTCTGTCTTGGTGGTGACTAAGGTGACAGGGATATGCGGCGGGGAAATCGACCTTTCCAGGATTTTCAGAGATGGAGCCCCCACGGCTGCCTGGTGGGGGCATAGCCAGGGCTGAGCCTGGAGGACCCGGGCTGCACCCGGAGGCAGTGTGGGAGGGCGGCAGCTGTCTCCAGCCTGAGGACGTGCTTGCTCCTGGCTTCTGTGTTCCACTCATCTCTGGGGCACCGACTTCTCAGCCTCCTGTGGCCGCTCCAGCGTGGGGCACTTCGGGTCTCCCTCTGTCCCTCCCACCACGTCCTCCCCCGTTTGGGCGAGCGCCTGCCCTCCGGCTTGTCTCCTCTCTGTCCAGAGCGCGACCCCTTCTCCAGAGCATCGTGCCCCAGGCAGGGCATTTGCTGGGGTCCGGGTGTCATCACTTAGGAAATGGAGAGAACTCCCATGGAAGAAAAAATGACCAATGGGGGGGTTGGCTGAAAATGCACTTATTAAACCATCAGTGGACCAGCCATTCCGGCTGCTCCATGGACCTTGTCAGCCGTCTCCTTGGGGAGCAGCCCCTGCTGCTGATGGGACTGGGGGTGTCCTCCCTGGGCTGCCCTTGGGCCTGTCCATTTTCCCCAGTAACCTTGGTCCCAATACCATTTAGATCCCTTTGGTAGGCACACACCTTATCGGGAGAAATGCCTGGCTAATCCCTTCCTGGGTGTGACCTGTGTGCAGCCGGCCCCAGACCTACTCGTGGCCAGCTTCCACGTAGGCAGCCTGGCACCACCTGGCTCCCTGCCCGGGGCAGGGGGAGGCTGGTCACGCAGGGGGCACGGCACCCCCCCGGAAGCCTCGCCTGCGCAGGGCACGGTGCTGCTGGCCACCTCTGCACCTCCACCGTGGAGCTGTCTCAGCCCCTGCTCCTAACAAAGGGCCCAGAGGGCTGGGGCCACGGGGCACGCAGAAAGGTTATCTGTGCTCGTTGAACAAACAGAGAGGAAATTATAAAACACCCCTGCAGCGGGAGCTGTGTGTTCTGCAGGCTGCCCCGGGGTGCCACTAAACTGGACATGGGACCTCGTGGTGCCCAGCTCCTGGCTGCGCTCCTCGTCCTGGGGCTGTGTGCCCTGGCGGGGGGCGAGAAACCGTGTACGTGGAGGCCGTGAGTAACCCCCGAGGCTCAGCCTTGCACGTTGGGGCCGTGAGCCCGGCTCTGCGGGTGCCCTGGGGGCAGCGGCACAGGCAGCCCCAACTCTGTGTACTCTGTTGTGTCCCTTAAAGAACAAAGGCAGGATCACACGTTAACTTGCGAGCAGAAGCAGCCACAGAGGCACCCTGCGATGTGAGATGCCGGCAGGTGCTGTCCGCAGGCCACTAGGGGAGGGGCTGCGCCAGACCTCCGGGAAGGGCTCCTCCTGGGGAAAGGGCCAGGTGACCGCAGGTGCTGGTGGCCCTGTGTGGTCCGGAGGGCCGGCCCCTCTGAGGTCCGGCTTGCTCACCTTTCACTTTGACCTTTGCCTGGGTCCGTCTGCCCACCTTCTTCTGAAGGGTTTTGTTTTAACTAATATATAATAGAACAATTTCAGCAAAGCCCCGCCAGTTTCTCGGGGGGAAATTACACAGCTCAAATACGGGCAAGATAAGACTTTGTGTTTCTCCCTGTGGCACCAGGAAGATGGGGGGTGTCCCCCAGGGCCCTGAGAGCAGGTGGGGAGTGTGATTCTGGTGCCCTGTGATGGAGCCAAGGGGTCTCTCCACAGCCCCCTGTCGGTGCTCAAGGGTGAGCACCAAGAACAGGAAGAACTGTGGCTTCCCGGGCATCACCAGCGACCAGTGCTTTGACTATGGATGCTGCTTCGACTCCAGTGTCTCAGGGGTCCCTTGGTGTTTCTACCCCCTCCCAAACGAAGGTAATCTTTGGGGGAAGCCAGACCCTCTTTCTGGGCTGATGGCCAGAGCCCAGCACCCGGCTTCATAGGAAGAGCCCAGAGCAGGGGCTTGAGGAGGCCCAGCCCAGCTGTCAGTCAAGAGCTAGCCCAGAAGGGCCACTAGTCTAGAGCCAGCCCAGGTCTGTGAGTCTAGAGCTAGCCCAGGTTTGTTAGTCAAGAGCTAGTCGAGGAGGGCCACTAGTCTAGAGCTAGCCCAGGTCTGTTAGTCAAGAGCCAGCCCAGAAGGGCCACTAGTCTAGAGCTAGCCCAGGGAGATGAAAATGCCCCGCCCACCCCCATGTCTGCACCATTTGCTCTTTTATGAGACATGTCTCAATCCATCAGTTTTACTTTATTTGAGAAAAAAAATCGGAAGTCTCTTCTAGCTTTGCAAGTGTGATTTCTGAAGAAGCTCCTAAGGGGAAGTGAAGGCATTTAACAGGACATCAGTAACCTAAGTGCTTACAGACTTAAAGTGTCAAGGAAGTAAGTTAAGACTTCTAGGATTCTTTCGGGAATGCGTTTTATGTCAATACGTGTGATCAAGACATAAAGACTTAATGCCAAGGTGTGCACAAAAGAAATTTGCGTGTGCAAATCACGCCTGCGTGACTGGAACTTGGCACCTCCTGCTTCTTGTCCACACTCGTGGTGGGAGCTTTTCTCCCCTGAGCCTGTCACTCCAAGCCTCACTGTGCCCCAGAGGGCCCCCAGCGGACAGCTGATGGTTTGCGGGGGCCCTCATTGAATGCCAGGACCTTTGGGCAGCAATGCAGGGACCTAACGCTTTGCATTCCCACAAGGCTCCACAACCCTCCCCTCATCTTGGGCCACCCCCATCGACAGAGGAGAACATTGAGTCCCGAGAGACAAGATGATTTGCCCAGGGCCCCAGGATGCCAGATATTCAGATCTTCTGTGACCACCATCCCACACTGGTCCACACATTCGGGGAGGACGGGCCAGCCAACCGCTGGCGCCGACACTGACACAGTCCCTGGGTGTTATGGTTCCAAGAGATGCCGCCCGGGCAGCTCTCCAGGACACACGGAGCCCCTGGATCCGGCAGTGTTCCTGGCGGGGCATGGGGATGGCGGTTTCCAGTGAGCTGCTGGCCTAATCAGGTCACTGTGCTGTGCCCTCCTGTGACCAGAGAATCAGCAGTGCATCATGGAAGTCCCAGCCCGCGTGAACTGTGGCTACCCGGGCATCAGCCGCGAGGAGTGCGTCTCTCAGCAGTGCTGTTTCGATGACCTTGTCTTCCAAGTGCCCTGGTGTTTCTACCCGAGGCCCGTGGAAGGTAAGGCCGCTGTGGGCCGAGCCCCTGGTCCCCGGGCACTGTGGATGATTTCTCGCAGTGCAGGCGGGAGCTGGGGCGTGGGAGGGGAGCTGCCTGGCGGCCTTGCTGCCATCCCAGGCCAGGGCCCCAGCGAGATTCCGAAGGCAGTTCCAGAATGTTCTCTCCAACACAGTGTCTTTTCAGTGAGTTTAGTGCCTCCAGCACTGCCACTGCGCCATTTGCGATTGTGGTGAGGACAGCAGCTCCTCCCAGAGCTGCCTGAGGGTCGGCACAGCCTGGTGGGGGTGCCCGCCCCACTGCAGTCATCGCTGCCTGTGGACGCCACTGCGTGCCGGGTACCGGGAGTGGGGCCAGAGTAGAGCAGCCGGGCCTCTCTCACGTGGCCTCACCGTGGCCCCCGCGTGACTGCGAGTGACGTGTGTTGCCCACGATGCCCTGCTCCTGGACAGCCCCAGGAGGGCCCGTCCTCAGATGTGCATTTGTCCCCTTCCCTGCCCTCGCTACGCTGTGCTCCTGACACGGGGGTGGCAGGACAGAGAAAAACCAGGCATGTCCACAGACATGGGGCGAGAGCACCGGTCCGTGAAGGATGCTCTCCTTTTTCTCTCTTTTAGGCTCCAGAGTGCTCCAAAGAGCAAAACCTGTAACTTTCAGGGTTTTCTGAGTGATTTTTTTCCATGACCTCAAGGTTCACCTGGAAAGTGTCCAGTCGTGTGGGGATAATGGGTCCCACGGAGGATGCTCTCACCCAGGGTGGGGGATTTCGTCCCTGGGCACCTCCTGGGAAGGGGCTCCGTCTTCGGTAGGAAACTCCTGGGCAAAGTGACCTGCAGTCACAGGAACCCACCTGGCTTCCTGGCGTAGGCCCCGTTCCTGTGGGGCTCTCACCACCCGTCCTGTGTTTCAATTTCCAGCCTGTCATTACTAGGAGGCGCTGCCTCCACTGCGCCCGTCTGGCCCTGGATGTTCTGGAACAAAGGAAGAAAATTCACTCTCTTATCAACTTCAAGTTTCACGAAATCCTGGGTTTTCTTAATCATTTTTAACCTTTTCAATGGTTTAATATACAATTTCTTCAAATAAAGAAAACCCTTAAAATCTGCCAAATTTCATTTTGTGTCATTTACATAGAAGTGACAGTAGGGTGTGTGCACATGTGTGTGGGTGTGTGCACATGTGTAAGAGTGTACGAGAGTGTGTACATGTGTGTGGGTGAGAGTGTGCACATGTGTGTGTACATGTGTATGGGTGTGTTCATGTGTGAGAGCGTGTGTACATATGTAAGGGTGTGTGCACGTGTATGAGTGTGTATACACATGCGTGGGCATGTGCACACATGAGCACATGTGTGTTCATGCGTGACAGTGTGTGTGCATGTGTGAGAGTGTACGTGTGTAATTTTAACACGCTTTCACTTACTCTAGGAGCAGCAGTTCATCACATATGTTCAGGCCACTCCAGCAGCAACAAAGCATTGCAAGCGAGTGAATTTCAGGATCACTTTAGAGCTCTCATACCAATCTCTTTTATTAATACAAAAACTCAAATAACTTTATCCCCAAAAGCCTCTTAGAGTGACATAGGGTCTCAGATGGCAGTCACAAAATTCCCTTGCTTTTACCGAATGCACGCAGACCCCTTGCTTTGAAATGCGTGTGCGCAACAGGCTGTCTCCTACCCCGACGCTGCAGGGACGGGCGCGGGCAGGGTCAGCCGCAGGCTCTCTCCCAGCTGTTCCCTGTTCGCTCCCCTCTGCCTGCGGGCAGCCCTGATAACATGCTAACATTTGAGGGTGTTTGGGGGGGAAGTTGACAGCACTTCATGGCAACAACCATAACCGCCGCGGGGAGGCCCCTGCGTGAAAGATTTCTGGCACCCTGAGCGTGGGGTGGGAGCGCAGGGCACGGCGCGAGGCCAGCCTTGTCGTAGCTCCCAGCCCCAGCTGCGCGGGCGTCCAAGGTGCTTTACAGGCGTGGGGCTTGGTCAGCTCGTCGCGGGAGGGAACAGTAGGGGACGTTCCCGTGACGTGTGGGCTCACATGCCAGGCAGTCACCGTGGGCAGATTCTTATCGTCTCGGGGTCTCAGGTTTTCTGTTTGTAAAACATGGGGACTCCTCGCACCCCAGCAGGGGCGTGACGGGAATTTAAGCAACTGTGACTGCCTGGTGCCCAGTGGGCCCCGCGAGGTGAAGCCCAGACAGGCTGCCGGGGCCTCAGGGTCTTGTCCCGCGGCCTTCGTAGACAAGCCTCGTCCACACACCGTGCAGGGCGGGTGCCTCTGCCCCAGAGCGCGGGTGAATCCTGCGGAATGTGCATGTGTTCGCTACATGCTTATTACACATAGTGCCTGCTCCACATACAGTCTGTGCCACATGACGATGTTTCAGCCAACGACGGTCACATATGCCGCGGTGGTGCCATAGATTGTGACGGAGCTGAAAGATGCCTGTCACCAGGGACGTCGGAGCGTCGCGAGGTCATCTCACAGGCGTCGTGCATGCGTTTGCGGTGAGACCCGCGTGACGAGCCCACCGCGGCCAGCTGTGCGAGTCCAGCACGCGCAGTTACGCAGCACACGGCACTCGGAGATGATAAACCGCCACGTTACCAGTGTGTGTGTTTACTAAGCTTCTTATTGTTATTGCAGAGGGTACGCCTTCTACTTACATATTTTGAAAAGCTAACTGTAAAACAGCCTCAGGCATCTCTTCCAGGAGGTCATAGCAGGTGACAGCTCCATGCGTGTTCCTGCCCCTGAAGACCTTCCACTGGGACAGGCGTGGAGACGGAAGACACTGGGATGGAAGATCCCGACCCTGCGTAGGTCCAGGCCAACGTGTGTCTCTGTGTCTTTGCTTTTAACAAAAAGGTTTAAAAAATTAAAAAATAAAAATAAAAAAGTTTTAAAATAGAAATAAACTTTTTGAATAAGGATATAAAGAAAGAAAATATTTTTGTACAGCTCTACAATGTGTTTGTGTTTCAAGCTAAGTGTTATTACGAGAGTCAAAACATTTTTAAAAATTAGGAAGTTTATAGAATAAAAGGTTACAGTAAGCTAAGATTAATTTGTTGTTGAGGAAAGAAAAATATTTGCATTAATTTAGTGTGGCCTAATTTCGTGGCGCGCATAAAGTCCACTGTGGGGCACAGGAACGCGCTGGGCCTTTGGGCTCGCTCGCCCCTCGCTCGCCGACTCGCCCGGAATAGCCGCCTGTCCTCGAGCTCCGTCCACGGTAAGGCCCTACACACGTGTATCATCTTTTATCTTTTATGCCATGTTTTTACGGCGCCTTTTCCATGTTTAGATATGTTTAGAGGCACAAATAGTCTCCACCGTGTCCCCCTTGCCTGCAGCATTCAGCGCAGCCGCACGCTGTGGGGTTCGGAGCCCGGCAGCGACAGGCCGCACCGTGCAGCCTGGGTGCGCGGGAGGCCGTGCCGTCTGGGTTTGAGAAGGACGCTCATGTTCGCACAGTGACGAAATCGCCGAGGGATGCACGTCCCAGACGTATCTCTGCTGCTAAGTGTCGCGTGATTGCGTATACGCAGGCGCCATGGTGCTGACGTATAGCGAATAGATCTGGTTGTTCGAGGTGGTGAACACTGACGTCGCTGCTGGCACCGAATTGGTGAATACCGCACGACGCTCCCAGGGGAATGCGGGGTTAGGCTCCCGCAGGCGTCTGGACACGTTTGGTCCCCCAGTCAATGCATGATCTTGTTTGACAAGTGCTTCTGTGCAAAGACACCTGGTTCACTGTACGCTGTTGTTACGGAACATCGAGCTCATGGCTGGCAGCGCTCTGTGCACAACTCACGCCGGAACAAAGCCTCTGACACGCGTGTTTTCTCTGTAAGGCATGTCGCAGCCTCACACCCAGGACACCGGACAGCTCTGTAGTGCTACGCTTGGGGCCATTTTAAATAGCAAAATCACCCAGAGAAAGCAGGAAAATATGACAACCGTGGCGCTAAGGAGACCATGAAAAGGACGCTCGTTTGCAGCAAGAGTTGAAACAAGAGGGCAGAGAGTCACCTTGTTTGACTGTAGTTGGGAACGTGTACGTTAGTGGCTCCAACTTGTCACCATTTTGTGCATTTCTGTGACTGATCTCGAAAGTGCCACAAGTAGTGATTTTGGGGTTCCAAATACATTTCAGTGAGTGGGTACATTTGCACATAGATAATACGTGCATGACGAGACAGACTGCGTATTCGTTCTGTGTGTTATATACTTATTGTGTACATTTTTGGAGTGTGGGGCTCACATAAACATCCCTGACGTTGTTCCAGGCGACCGGCCCCTCCTGGGACAGCCCTGCCCTCGCCTTAGAAGGAGGGGCCATGGCCACAGCACAATCCGAGGCTCCGTGGGTCACCAGGCAGGTGACTGGGGGCTGCAATGAGAGTGTCCGTATCGGCTCTCAGAACACATACTGTGCTTGTGTTCTGCAGCGATTTCCAAATCCGGATCACTTAGCAGCTGTGTGACCCTGGGCGAGGTACTTAGTCGTTCTGTGCCTGGTCTTTGACTCCTCGTAAAGTGTAGATGTCAACAGCTCCTTCCCTTATGGGCTTGTTGTGGGGTTCATGGGTTAATGCAGGGCTGTGCTTAGAACGGTGTCGGGCACACAGTGAGCGTTTAACAATTCTTGCTAGTTCTTGCTATTATTATTAATATATAAATATGCCAATATCCCGGGCCCATTAATCTGAGAAGCCATATGTGGTCCTGGTTGACTTGTGGTCATTATTCTGGTGAAGGGGACACAGGTGTCAGACCCTCCAAGACTCTGCGTTCTCTCCATACCAAGTGCCTGCCACGGGCACACCTAGGAGCCCCTCCCAGGGGCTCCTCCTCCCCGTACCTGTTTGCCTCCGCCTGGCCTCCCCGTGGCCTGGGCTGATGTCATGGTCCTGATGCATGCTAGTCCCCACTGAGGACTGGAACCCTGTTCCCACCCTTGCCCCGGAGAGCCCTGCAGGTCTGCTCACCCAGGGAAACTGGAGAGATGGTGCCTTCCCTCGTGTACATTTCATTGGGCGGGAGGTCACTGCAAGGACACTTGAGCCTCGGGGCCCCAGCCTTCTTCTCCTTGCTGAGTCAGAGCACCCTCTGCAGCCCTGCAGCCACTGCTTCAGAGCCAGAACGTGGAGCCCGCTGCTTCTGGGGTCTGCAGCGCTCGGCACCGCCTGGGGGTGTGAGATGTGCCCCAGGCAGGTGCAGCCTGGGCCACTGTCCCTCTCAGTCACTAGCAGAGACCTCCCCCCAGGCTTCCAGGCAGCTGGCTCAGGGCTGGTCCCCACTACAGGGCCACCCTGACAACCTCCGCTCGCCTGATGTCCCAGGCTCCACCCCCCCCTCCCCCCAACCCCGCCGCCTCCCGCCACCTCAGCACCCACCCATCTCTGCAGGGCTGTCTGCGTTGGGTAAAGGGCCCTGGGAGGTTTCCAGAGCTTTCCTGGGAGGGTCCTCCGCTTCCAGGTAGAGGAAATGGGCCGGGAAATGAGCCGTTGCCCCACTCGACAGCCCTTCTGCCACGTGCCGCGACACCACGGCTCCGGGACTGGGCGGCTGGGTGTCCACAGAGCCCAGTGGCTGGCAGCCTCTGTATTTATTTTCTGTGCCTCAAAGAGTGCTCAG